CTCTTTCCGTGGCAGATCATACTGCAGGTATCTACTCTTATGGAAGTTACAGAGCTATACAAATTAACCCATTCACCCTTATCACACTTATCAGGCTACAGTTTATCCTCACTCAATCCTAAAAATATTTACTGGTTCTGCAAACTGGCACATTTCTGATTAAAATTAAGAATTATGTGTGTAAGTACAGAAGGAATGCCCTCTCTGTGATGGGAGTAGAATTATTTATAGATGTAAAGGTAAAACTGTCTAGCAGTGTGTTCCTGACCAAAGAATATCAAGAGATTCTCACACAGAGTTAAAGCACAGAATGAAGGAGACATACACAAAATACTGTTTTAATTGTTTGCTTTCTCTGCTTAAAAAATTATGAAGACAAAGTGGAAGGTGTGAAAAGCATAGGGGGGTCTGATTTGCATTTTATTTAACTTGGCATAGAAGCAGATACACTGTACCAATGGGATCTCATAACTTACACTCATAACTGTCAGGTCAGGAAACCTGCCAAAGCTTTTCAAAACCTCCTGGCTACAGCCCAGTTGATGGGATCCTTTACAGACCACAAGGTCTGTTGCTGTTTAAATCACAGGTACAGGCAATGTAATTAACCTAAGTTCCTTCACCTGTGAAACTGTAGCTATAGTATAATACTCTTGGATATTACGAAACTAATTTAGTGCTACAGGTGGTCAGATACCAAATGCAATGCGAAGTATTGTCTTGGTTTCATGTGCCTGCAGTGTGAATACATTCACCAACCCCTCTGAGGAAAGCTTCTAGCCAATGGAAAACATGTAAAACCGTATCTCTGCTGAGGCATTAAAGAAAATGAATGAAAGTTGTGAGCTACTGCTACTGTGGTATGACATCCCCGCCATGGCTCGGGATGAGGGAGCCTACACATCACAACCCACAGAAAAAAAAAAAGGCTGGAGAAAAGAAGAAAAAACAAACCCCCACCACAATCTGTGCACCATTTATCAAACCAGCTCTGCTTAGCCAACCCCCAAAGGACCTTGTGGCGCAGCCTGAAGCAAGGGAAGATTTATCTGTGCTCCTGAGAGTTTTGCTCTCCCTGCCCTATACGAGCAGACACAAACCACTTTATTCCCCTTCTGTATCTTGCTGTCCCCACCCCTGCCCTTGCAAGCCATCAGAGTGGCAGCAAACAGGATTTGTGCACAGAGAGAATGAAGAAAGGAGTTCCTTTGTTAGCAGTTGTGCTTATTCAGCACAACGCTGGCTGTGCACTACAGCTCTAAGCAGAGTTAGCAACCACGGAAGGAACCAACACTTTTATATGAACATGCAGTGAAGGGAATGATTTGGCATGGATGGCAGACCCAGAAGGAAGATTCTAGTAGCGTGCTTAGTTGTAGTCCAGTGGAAGGTGTTCCTGCCTGTGGCAGGGGGTTGGAACTAGATGAGCTTTAAGATCCCTTCCAATCCAAACCAGTCTACGACTCTATGATTCTATAATTGCAGCTACTCATAACTGCATAAAAGGCTTGCCTTTGCAATCTGAAAAAAAGCTATTAGTATGGGAATGCTACAAGCTCTTCTCTATTCAATTGATTTCCTCTTATTAAGTCTCTCTTTAAACATACTGGAAGAAATCTATTTGTGTATCTATCATCATTCTTTTGCCTGGGGTCCAAGGCTGGTGAAATATTGATGTGAAGGCTTTAGCTACTGTTTTTATCATATTAGTTAGTGGGTTTTGAATACAATCCCCTGCCAAGGTTCCTGCTGCATGCGTGAGCTCCCTGCTACACACACGTAAAAACAGTATTAATTACCCCAAATAGAGGTTCTCCTGCGCTAGGCAGGATACCCCATCAAGAAGTGTGAGATTGAGTCAGCAGCAGTGGGCTAACAGGTCTAAGCACACACAGATCAGAGGAGTGATGACTTGCAGGAGAACCGGTCATATGCTCCAGACACAGGAATGGTAACAGGAGTAACTGAGGGTGATAGAGGACAGGGCTGGTAAAAGGAGTGAAAGAAATAAGAGAGGGAAAATGTAGGCTAAATACAAGGCAGGTCCCATGGGCAACTCTCCTGGCATGAGAAATCGTATCAAAATGTTCCTTCAGGTTTTCTTCAAAGAATGTCTTAGTTCAGCCTGCTACACTCTTCAGAAAACACTGGGTGTCTTGGTGTCAATGTCTTGAAGAGACCTCTAGAGAGATACACTGTGCCCAGTACCTGAGAAACTCTCCTTAGCATACAGCTGTCCTAAATGGGAATTGAAGGCACAGCACTGATAATTTGCACAGTGGATGATCTGTGCCCATCACAAGCTAGACCAGGGGAAAGAGCTGAGGTACCAAATGCAAAGTGATGGCCATACCTTCACTGCCCAAGGGCTCCCACCTGTGGACCATCATTGACTCTTGGTGATCCACATGCCCCGATGTCCACCTGAAACTAGTGCTGGCTAGAAGTCAGTATGACCTACCTTAATTCAATGTTAAATCCAGCTTGAACATGAATAGTCCATTCGCATCGTGCGTTCAGTGGGTAACCCTCCAGCAAAATCTGACCTCTAGAAGCCCGAAGAACTTGTCCACATCCTGGGGAGCAAAGGAAGAAAAAAAAATATCTGTGTAAAGGACCTTTAAGAGGTATTTGAAGAAAATACGTGTAGAAACAACACCGGAATGAGAAGACAGGGTGGCTTAGGCAGATAAATGCTTTCTTACCAGGCAGCATATAAAATAAAGGCACAGCCACAAAAAGGCTATAAAGACTTCTGGCTCTAATAATGTATTGCCTAGGCTAAGAGCAACCCTAGAAAAGTTTTAGTTGATTGCTTCTTCCTGGTTTGCAACGAAGCCTCATGAAACCATTCCTTACAGCTTTTGCCCCACTCTTGATTAGCCCACCCACCCAGACGGCTGACCCTCCAGCTCAGAAGAGTTGTAATGAATCTTATATTGACCTGTGTAAAACCTGAAGCTGAGAAAGTTGGAAAAATGTTAAAGGACAATGAACACTTGAGATAGCTCAAGTAAGTGAAACAGTGAGAGGAGGAGCTGTTGCACTCAACATCATCGTTTCAAATCCTTCACAAGGAGACCCCTGGAAGAAAAGTAGCTGATGTATTCCTAGAGGAGATGTCTGTTTGTCCTCAGGATTCACCACATTTTCCTTATGTGTTAATGCCACCACGTCAATGGAGACATATAACAATTACAGCTCCTCCACCAGTGACTCAGTGTAACACATACATGACATACAGCCCTTATCCCTTCTCTCAGGTACTTTCCTACCCTTCTACTCCCATCCCATCCTGCCTTTGTCACTCTCAGCTTTCCGCCATACTAGAAAAGATGCACTTCAGTCCCCACCATCAATAGGATAAAATGAAGTACTCCAGTTGTTCGTGACCACTCTGAGAAAACCACCAGAGGACAAGGACCTGAACAAGCAGCAGACAAGGTCGCACACTGAGGAAGCAATATCTTTTCACAGCTACCCTGCAGCTGTCCCTAGGCAGCTGTCCAGGGATAGCTGTCCTGTTTCCTCATCTTGGATGCTGAACATTTTTAGCCCAGAGTTATCTCACCTTCGGTAACCTCTGCCTTTACCCCAGCTATAAAATATGGCTAATGGTATTTTTGCCTGTGGAAGAAGGACAGTTGTTTAGTGATTTTTATAGAGCCTTCTGTGGTCTGGAAATGTAAGTGCCAGCAAAATGCACAGTTCAATCATTACGCACCAAACAGAGCTAATTTCTCAGTTTCTACTTTTCTGAGTACATCTTTCCAGATGGAGTCTTGTACATGGCTACATTCCCTGGTAAGCCTTCTGGTGCTTTGCTGGGGGATGAGGCTCTATCCATAAGCCAGAAGTTGCAATTGAGTCTAATAGCATTGCCGAACCAGGGGACTCTGATAGGCCGCATAAACGGATAATGAGGATAAGTAAAAAGACAAATGACCCAAAAGACCTCCACAGCAACTCTCTCGCTTCATTTTACCTCTTTAGTCCAACAGAAATCCCTGCTGCTTCCATCTGTTTCCCAAGGGGAACCCTAAACTTTTAAGCAGTAACACAGGGTGAATGCTTCCTACTGAAATGAGTTTTAACACTTGCCTCAGGGCCCTTCTTTCCTTTGGGAAAAGAGGGCGACAGTGACCTGGTTTGGTGAAGAACCAAGCCTCTGCGGTTCCGACTGATCTTACTGTCTGGAAATCAGTCCTGCTGCATCTAGTCTATGGGGAAAAGTGAAAACTGCAGGTCAATTACTCCTCTTGCTTCTTAAGGAAGTGTTGCTCAAATGAAACACCCTTTGTTCATTTACCCTTGGTTGCCCTTAATTAAGCAGGACCCAAGGAAACAGAAATGCTACTCAGAAGAGTTCCTCAGAAGTGCTTCATCCTCCTCTGGGGCTCACTTAGTTCCCTCTGTAAAAGACAAGACTAATGACTGTGCCCAGCAACCACATTAGGATTCAGCAAGTACAGCAAGATCTGCTGTGGTGCACATGATAATGCTCCTTCCCACAGCAAGAAACAGGATCTTGTGCTGCTGTTGGCTCCTGCCTCAAAAACAGCCCGAGACAAAGCTGCTAAAAATCTTCAGATGGTTTGACAGGGGGCTTGGACCACCTCAAAGAAAGTTTCCCTTTCGTCCTGAAGGGCTTTTGAGTTGCTGATGCCTTTAACAAAGGAAAGCCAAAGAACTGGTGCAGAGATACTTGTATGCACAGCATACTAAATGCACTTTTCTGTTTGCAATGGTACAGCCCGAACTCTCTGAACACTGGTGCCAAGGAAGTAGGTTTAGCCAGCAAAGCAGGTGGTCCAGAGGCTAAAGAGGAGCCATTCAGTGACCGTCTCCAAAAGAATGTTTTCAGATTCGCTACCGCCCTTCTCTGCATGAAGCACCTTTGCGATCACATCAGATCTGTGCTCTTGTATCTCCAGCCCTTCTAGCAGAAGTTAAGCTGACTCCCCAGACCAACAATTCAATCATCTCTTGATCAAAAGGAGTCTTTTCTCTTCCCATTCAGAATCTGCGGGAGACCTGGAAAGCTCTGAAAAATAATTTACATCCTAAACACAAATGCTGGCAAATTCTGCCTCATTTACAGAAAAATAATCCATTTTGGCTGAGTGTCAACATCCTTGTTCCTTTCCTGTTTCTGAATAAACGGCAGCTTTCAGGGCCACAGTAAGATTTCCTCTAAGGCTTGTTACTAACAGAAAAGAAAACAATGCAGGAGACCTCTGTTGTAGCCCACAGAGATCCATGGGTCAATGGAGGGAGAGGTCCTGAGGAGACCTCTGCTAAGAACTCATTATCTGCTGTCCAAGTGCTACAGCATTGATGTGGGGCTCCTTCACCGGTCAAGAGGACTGAACCAAGGAGAATGACAGTAGAAGAGTTATTGGTTTTCATAAATGGACTGATCCAGCTCCAACCCCTGCCACAGGCA